TACAGAAGAAAAATCATTTAGGAGTATATTATATACAATTACTCATGGCTGCAAATTACAGTTAGCCTCTTTCACCAGGGTAAAGTCTCCAGAGAAAGCCTTGGTATTCGTATCACATAAATCTGACACTACTCGCATTATTCACAGGTCAAAGGTAAAAGTGGAATTAATTAAACATATCTATCCTGCCCAGTGGCCGGATGGTGGGGAGTGGGTAATGGAACAGAGGGCTGACCAATAATGATTGTGGTTTGAGTCTACATTTCCTAGATCGGTCAAGAATCAGGGTAAAGCCGTTGTAAGAGCTTTTTAAGCATGGCCCATTCTGATCGATGCTCCTCCGTAGTGGAGAGATGCCGTGAACGAGAGTTTGAGCGATACGGAAGCGTCCACATTGAGTGGTGCGTGTGGTCATTTTCTTGAGCTGTCTGAAGCATTTTAATAAGCATCAGTAACAGAAAAACCTCCCAAAGCTCCAGAGAAACATGCAGTTTTTTACCCTGGCACCGCAGCACTGTGAAGTGCTACGGGGTGAGATTTTTCTTAGAGACTCTGCTAGTTCCTTCCTCCAACTGGGCCAGAAACGCAGCACAATCAGCCTTTCTCATGGCATCGTGCTGCTTCTATTTCTAGACCCAGCCTGAAACAGAAAGTAGCGGAAAGCATGAGCAATGAGAATGAGCAATGAGAGGAGGCGAAATAGTCAACCAATCTAGTGTGAACCTTATATAAACAGATGGGCTCAGTGCAAGGTTTGGATCACGTTTTATTTTAACCGGCTCATTTTGCCTTTCTTTAGCATCCGCGGAGGCAGCCTTCGCCTTGCTTTCTCGCGCACGCTCTTTCCTCCAAGGAATTGTGAGTTTCAAAAGTGTAATTTGCTAGCTTGTGAGGGGTTCTTCAGCACGACCTTCTAGAAGGGGTTTGATGAAAGCCCCTTCTCAATAGCTAGTTTGTAAGGAATTGCCTTCCGAGATCAGAGCTGTGGTCTAGCCATCCTGGCGTCCTGTCCCTGACAGTGGCCACCACCAGATGCTTCAGAGGTAGGTTTAACTCTCCCCCAGAAATGTCCTTTACATAAGAACGTAGGGTGCATTTACACTGCACTGTTTTTCCAGAATAACGGCCATTATTCTAGAAAAACAATACTAGCGTTCACACTGCAACAGAAAGTGAAAAGACGGAGGGCTTTTTCCGACAGCAGTACACCTCATTCCACAAGGGAGAAGCCTTTTTCCGAAAAATCTTTTTCAGAAGGGGGGGGGGGTGTGGACGCTCCATCACTGCTATTTTGAAATAGCCCTTCCCCAGGGCCATTCTAAAGTTCTCCCTCCCCCGTACCTCCTGGGGCTCTAAATCGAGATAGCACGTCCACATTACGGGAGCCTGCCTCTGACTTATTTTGGGGTTTCCCTGCAGCGTGGATGCTCTATTTTGAAATAAGCGTTTCCAGAAGATAGCAGTAGGAAAAGTTTATTCTGGAAGAAGCTTGCAGTGTGGATGTACCATTCCTCCTTTGACCCTGGTTTTCCTACATCTCAGTAAATTGCTGCAATCACCGCTTGGAAATGTTTACCTTTTCTGTCCGTCCCTCCGCCCCCCGCCACACTGCTCCCTTCTTCCAAGGGTGCACCTGTCCCCAGCATAGAATCACAGAGCACTAGAACTAGAAGGGATCTCGAGAGGTCATCAAGTCCAGTCCCCTGCCCTTTGGCCTTGGAGAAGGGGTGGAGCAGGGGCGGGGAAAAGGCAGGAAGAGGCAGGAAGGAAGTGGGGTAAGGGTATTTAGGTTTGAGGGAGATCAGTGAGCTCCAGCCTTTTTAACCACAAGATCACAAAAGGCAGGAAGAGGCAGGAAGGAAGTGGGGTAAGGGTATTTAGGTTTGAGGGAGATCAGTGAGCTCCAGCCTTTTTAACCACAAGATCACTTCTTCAATTGAAGAGCCCTGCAAGATCTTCCTCAAACCCAAATCCACTTGCTCCACCTCCTTTCTGCCCGTTCTTTGAGGCCACGCCCCTGCTCCGCCCCTTCTCTGGGACCTCCCCCAGCTCACTCCACCCCCCTTCCTCCCTCATCCTCACTCACTTGCACCAGGCTGGGGTAGGGGTTGGGTGCAGGCTCTGGTCTTGGACCAAGGGGTTTGGAGTGTGGGAGGGGCTCTGGGCTTAGCCCAGGGTGGGAGGTTGGGATCCAGGAAGGATTACCGGGTGCAAGCTCTGGGAAGGAGTTTGGGGGTAGGAGGACTCACGTCTGGGGCAGGAGGAGGTTCTGGGCTGGGAGAGGGGTTCAGGATACAGGCTCTGGCTGGGCTGTTTAACTGAGATGGCTTTTGGGTGGTGGAGCAGTGGGGTTAAGGCAGGCTTACTCCTGCACTGGCCCTGCACCGCTCCTGAAAGCAGCTGGCACGTACAGCAATGGCTTCATGTGTTGCCCCTCATCTACAGGCACTGAGCCCAAAGCTTCTGCTGGCCGCAGTTCCCCGTTACTGGAAGCTAGAACATAAGAACATAAGAACGGCCGTACTGGGTCAGACCAAAGGTCCCTCTAGCCCAGTATCCTGTCTGCTGACAGTGGCCAGCACCAGGTGCCCCAGAGGGAGTGGACCGAAGACAATGATCAAGCGATTTGTCTCCTGCCATCCCTCTCCAGCCTCTGACAGACAGAGGCCAAGGACACCATTTTATCCCCTGGCTAATAGTCTTTTATGGACCTAACCTCCATGAAATTATCTAGCTTCTCTTTAAACTCTATTATAGTCCTAGCCTTCACAGCCTCCTCTGGCAAGGAGTTCCGCAGGTTGACTACACGCTGTGTGAAGAAGAACTTTCTTTTATTAGTTTTAAACCTGCTCCCCATTCATTTCATTTGGTGTCCTCTAATTCTTCTATTATGGGAACTAATAAATAACTTTTCTTTATTGGCCCTCTCCACACCACTCATGATTTTATAGACCTCTATCCTATCCCCCCTCAGTCTCCTCTTTTCTAAACTGAAAAGTCTCAGTCGCTTTAACCTCTCCTCGTATGGGACCCGGTCCAAACCCCTCATCATTTTAGTTGCCCTTTTCTGAACCCTTTCGAAGGCCAAAATATCTTTTTTGAGGAGAGATGTCTGCAGGCAAGGACAGCCAATGGAGACCCCCTGCTCTGCCTCTCCCAGGGGCTGCAGGGACATGCCAGCCACGTCCAGCAGCAGCAATGACCACAGGGAGCATGACTCCAGCCACGCCAGGTTTGGCAGTTTAGAACTCACTGCTCCAAGAATGACATGTAAGCGTAAGAGAGAAATGCAAGTGATGAAATGCACAGACCAGTCCAAAACCCAACACAACCCTCTCTGCAAGCAGTAAAAGTAGTAACCGCAACCAGAGAGGTGGTGTTGGGTCAGGAGATGAGAGCACGGGACAGTGTGTGTGTGAGAATGATAGACACACACAGGCTACGTCTAGACTGCATCCCTTTTTCGTAAAAGGGATGCAAATTAGACGTATCGCAATTGCTAACGAGGTGGGGATTTAAATCTCCCCCGCTTCATTAGCATAAAAATGGCTGCCGCTTTTTTTCGACACGGAGCTTTGCCAGAAAATAAAGCGCCAGTCTTTCGGAAAATAAAGCCAGCACTTGATAACTTCCTTGCCAAACCAGTCTGGATCCCCCTATCAGAGGCTCCAAGATCTACTGGTAGATCCCAATCAACTGGTTGGTGACCCCTGCTCTAGTTCCAACAGGAATAATTTGGGGAAGTTTTCTGGCCCATGCTATAGACGAGAGCAAACAGGCCGATCACAGTGGCCCCTTCTGGCCTTCAACTCCATGAATCCATTGAGGGCGGTTTGCTCTGTGAGTCCCTGCAGGGCAGATCAAGTAGGAAAAAGATGGTTCTGAGGAGGAGGGAGGGAAATTCTTCTCATTAAGCTCTGAGGACAGGACAAGAAGCGACGGGCGTAGATTGCAAAAAGCAAAAAACTTCCTAACGAGTTCCATTCTTAATCATCCTGACAGATTGCCTAGGGAGGTTGTGGAATTCCAGAAGAACATCAGAACGGCCAGGCTGGGTCAGAAGCACATCAGAACGGCCAGGCTGGGTCAGAGCAACGGTCCATCTAGCCCAGTGTCCTGTCTGCCGACAGTGGCCAGCACCAGGTGCCCCAGAGGGAGTGAATAGAACAGGGAACCATCAGCTGATCCCTCTCCTGTCTCCATTTCCAGATAAATAGAGGCTAGGGACACCCTCCCCACCCATCCTGGCTAACAGCCACTGATGGACCTAACTTTCATGAATTGATTTAGTTCTTTTCTAAGCCCTGTTAATAGTCTTGGCCTTCACAGCATCCTCTGGCAAGGAGTTCCACAGGTTGACCACGTGCTGCATGAAGAAAAACTTCCTTTGCTTTGTTTTAAACCTGCTGCCTAGCAATGTCATTTGGTGACTCCTTATTTAACTTTTCCTTATTCACTTTCTCTGCACCTGTCATGATTTTATGACCTCTGTCCCTGGAGATATTTAAGAGCATGTTAGAGAGACGTCTATCAGGGATGATCTAGATGGTGCTTGCTCCTGTTGTGAGGGCAGGGGACTGAACTAGATGACGTCTGAAGGTCCCTTTCAGTCCTATGATTCTATGCTTCTTGTTGGTAAATGCAGGCACGCTGCAGCTTTTCTTTCCAGGCACTTGCTTGAATCAGTGTTTTGTTAGCCCATGAGGGATGCCCCCTAAGTCCTAGATGACCAGAACACCTTACCCAGCGGCCAGAACATAACCCACAGCCAGATTTTGTGAGTGGTTGGGATCTGGGCTCAGATGTGTGTCTTTTACAGACTCTATGGAACAGTTAAAGCGGAGCTCCAAAAATCTGGCAGCGTCCAGGGAGTTTCTGGCAGGTGGCTCTTATATCAGCTGGACCAGGACTACCCGTGCGTGACAGTCGCACCCCTCTGGTTTTAGAGGATTACTGCAAAGACCATTTCACGACTGCTAGCGTTTGCCGGTCCGTCCTTGGGTGGGAAAGAAACCTTGTGAGGATGTCAGGTTAGGCTAAAAAATCAAGCCCTCTGTGCTAGGCGGAGGCTGTTTGCAATCCATCGTGTCCATGCCACACTCGCGGGCAGCGATATTACTGCTACCTTGAGTTTAAAACGCCGAAAAGGGAACTTCCACTTGCGAAGGCAGACACTCAGGAAACAGCAGCCACATCCTATCACACACACGTGACCCGACTTGGGTCTTGTTGTTCCCTGCTGCAAAAGACAGAAATCCAGCAAGCGTGGTGTGAGACAGCTGGGTCACTGCAGCTTGCCATGAGCTTACTGACAAGGTGGATTCCTGTGCTAACTCCATTTCTGCTTCTCTGTAAGTGAGCCAATGTAGTTGCTTTCTCTCTCTTCCCACAGGCTAAATATTTAACTTCGGGGGGTGGGGGAGACAGGGGCGGTGCTCTGCTGTTGATTTATTGAGCCTCCTGGTGCTGTTGATTTCTCAGCTGGATGATGTGCGTGCTCTGGTCGAATGCCTCTTTGTGTGCAAAGGGATATTTACTGAAGGGCGTGCTGTGTCTGGACGGAGTTCCGTGGCTGGAGGGTGGCCCATGTGAGGAAGCAGACACGCCGGAGCAAGAGGCACGGGTCCGTTACAGACCTGCGTCTTTGCTGGGGAGGAAGCTGATGGCTTCGGAGCCTCCGCCCGGGAGTTCATGTACAGGGCAATCCCAAAGCAATAGGCTTATGTGCAATTTGTTTGCAAGTCCCTTTCTTACCTCTCCGGGCACCAGGTTGAGATTAGACAGACATCCGTCCGGGAGGGTCTCCAACCTTTTTAAGCATGAGATCACTTTTTGAATTGAAGTGCAATGTAAGAGCTACCTCCAACCCCGATCCCCTGGCCCCCCCTCCTTCGGGTCCCTTTTCTGAGGCCCTGTCTCTGCTCACTCCATCCTCCCTCCCTTTCACCAGGAAGGGGGTTGGGGGGCAGGATCTGGTCTTGGGCTAAGGGATGTGGAGTGAGGGGGCTCTGAGCTGAGCCTGGGGTGTAGGAGGGGGCATGGGGGTACAGGTTTGGGGAGTGTGTTTGGATTCCGGGGGCTCAGGGCTGGGGCAGGGGTTCGGAGCTGGCTCCAGCTGGACACCGCTTACCTCAGGTGGCTCCTGGGTGGGGTGCAGTGGGGCTAAGGCCGGCTTAGCTGTCCCTGGCCCTGCCCCACTCCCAAAGGCAGCCAGCAAACTCCCTCCATCCCAAGCCCTGTGCCCCCCCACCTTCATTCCATGGAGATAGAATACAGGATGGGAAAGGGGGCACCCTGACATCAGCACCCCCCATCCCTTCCCTGCTCTGTACCTCGAGCAGGAGGCTCCGGAGGGTGCGGAGGGGAGTGCGGGGTGGAGGTAGGTCCAACTCCTCCAAGGCAAAGGGCAGGAGGTGTGCAATAGTGCGGGGAGGGGCAGCTGAAGGGGCCTCTTGGCCAAACCAGTCAGGATCACCTGTCAGATGCGCCAAGATCTACCGGTAGATCCTGTTCGACTGGTTGGTGACCTCTGGTCTAAACGGTGCTTGGTCCTGTCGTGAGGGCAGGGGGCTGGACTGGATGACCTCTCGCTGTCCCTTCCAGTTCTTGTGTTGTATGATTCACATGCCTGTTCTGCAGAACTTTCTGATCAGGACATCGGCCAGCCGAGGAGTTCAAAGTGCTTTGGGCACATTCACTCTCACAGCCGCCCTCTCCTGAGACAGGCCCGGTCTATCCGGTCCCGGTTGGTACGTGCGGACACTGAGGCACATCAGGGAGACCTGTCAGAGAGAGACGGGCGAAGAAGAAGCAGAACAGAATTTGCAGTTGAGGCAGACGCAGGCAGCCAATATGCAAATTAAGCCTGTTTCTATTGATTGGAGAATAAGGGCAGCATCGCCTGCTATGACAGCCCTTGCAGCGGAACATGGCCCCTGCCTTCCTCCCCATTGGGAGAAACCACAGGAAACTCTGTAGCCTCATACGCCCTCAGAGAATTTCACCAGTGCAGCTTGCAGGAGCCTGAGACGTGCACACAGGTCTTTCTAGTTCAAACTAAAACACAGGCTAGATAAGGGGATCATTCCTTTCATCACCGAAATGCAGCCAGCTCTGGTGCGGAGTGCAATCACAGCGCACAGCAACACTCCCACCTCAGGGAATAAAGAGGCATACCAAACCCTGTGGAAACTACAGGGAGAGAGATGAGGAGGCAGATAAAGTTTTTTCAGAACACCAGTTTCAACAGCCCTGCTCTTTCCAAGAGACCCAGGGGATCTTGAATGAGTAAAAGTTCTCAGGAGCTCAGCTTTTTTTTGTCATCAAAAATCAGCCTCTCCAATAGCCGGAGCATGGGTAAGAGATGAAACATACTGTCTGCCAAAATCACCAGCAACCTTGGGGTTTTTTTTGGGGGTCCTAAGTCCAAGCATGGCAGAACTGGGCTTCCACCCGTGCCCCAGAGCCAAACACCCCAGAGCTGAGGGAATCCTTCTTGGAAAAAATTTCTCAGTCTGGTTGTCTGCAAACGTGTGTTGCCTTGAATTGTGAAATACGGATTTTTAAAACCTTTTTCATGCTGCCATCAATAGAAAAGGCATATTGCATTGCATTACAGCACAAAATAGAGCCATGGCATTGCTCCATATGGCGCTACATTGTGTGCACTTGCCCTGCCACAACTGGCACGGGTATGGGGGGAGTTTGGTGCTACCCCTTTCTGATACCCACAGCTCTTGAGGATGTGGGGTGGGGAGAGCAGTGGGAGCGTTCACAGTGGAGGTTCTTAGAGACTACAACTGGTTCAGATCCCACTCATGGAGACATTATATTTGTTCTTTCTTGGACAGTATTTTAAATTAACGAAAACAACAAACAATTTAGACTGGAAATGCAGATCTCACGCTTTGAGCTCCTGACTCCTTTTCCTTTCCTTTCAAGTTGGTTGGATTCACCAGAATGTCATGCCGGATTTCAGGTCGAAACAGGAACTCAGAGCCACACTCGATTAAATCTCCTATTACAGGTTGTGATTTGCTTGGGGTAGGGATGATCTTCCTGTTCCGTGTTCTCCAAACACAATGGGATGCTGGCCAGTGACAGCACACCACCACGATACGAGTAAATAATAGTGCATTTGCATTACTGCACAAAGCTCATATTGCCCGTGAGTTGGACAATGAGAGGAACGAGACGAGGCCCAAGTTTGGCCCAAGTTTGCTTAAAAATGGTCCGGAGGTTGCTCCAAACCATGGATCATTCTGTAAAGCTGAAAAGTTCTGATCCAGATTGAACCGTTTCCAAAGGTACGGGACATTCAGATCTGGAAGTTAAGCCGGGCACATTATAAAGATGGGGGCCCATCGTAAAACTGGATCTGGGCTCCTCCAAAATTTGGGCAGGGTTCAAAGTTATCTCCTCCACTTTCACCCCTTTCTGCTGAGAAGTTACAACCATTTCAACAAACCTAAGCTGAACGTGCGTGTTAGAACAAACGTGCCAGCAATGCGGGATTTCAAGCGCAGCCTTCGTGTCCCATGTCTTCTCACATGGAAGAAAACAACCTGAATTTTTAACTTCACTTCCATATCAGACTCAGAATCAAATGTATTTAAGCAGGACCTGCTAGCTACGATTAAATCTTAATCCAATCCCGACGGAAGAGTATGAATTGAAAGCATCATCCCCGTTCTTGTGGGTTTCCACAGGCTCCTGTCCCTCCCCTTTTAAAAAGAAACTAATAATTAAATCCCAATATATTTAAGTGACCTACATGAAATGTTCCATGTAAAATATGATTCTTGCCATAAAACACATAATCCACCACTGGTTTAATTCCATTACAAAGCAGACATTAAGGGCTCTGTATTAAGATCATTAGGATAATAAAAGTAATTCAATATTACTTTTATTATGTTTGAATTTAGAACATTCTTCATATGAGCAGAAAGAATAATTAAGGGGATGGGTGGAAGGAAGGCTTTTTTTTTTTAAATGGATAATGAAAGAAATTCACTTGCCAAAGCAAAGAGAATTAAGTTAGTTTTTAATTTAGAAGCCAAGTATTCCACACCCTTTCCTCCCATAAATCCTTTTCAACATCATTTTAATTTCCTCTTTTGTAACTGCGACACTGGTGTCACAGTGTTGTCCACTCTTTTGTTTTTTCATCCACTTTCAGCTCCTGGAGTCATGTGACTACAGTGGGAAAACAAGTCATTTTTCCAAAAGTATGTTTCTAGTTCTCCTGAGTGCAGAGTAAAGTTTTAACATGTAAACATTGCAGGCTCAACAAACAAAAAAACAAAAAAAGTGCCAACATTTGTTTGGCTTAAAATCTCATGATTTTAAGGCCAATCTCAAGGTTTTCTGAAGTCTTATTAAGTAGAACCTGGCAAATCCACAGATATCCACTTTATATACGCCGGTATCTGCAACTGCTCATGTTTGTGGCTACAGATGCAGATACATGCAGTATCCATGTAGGGCTCTGTTAATATGCAGAGCTAGGCCATATAGTCACTCAGTGGAAGATCAACGCTCCCACAATCGATCTTCCAGTGTTTGATTTAGCAGGTCTACTTAAGACCCACTAAGTTGAACTCAGACTGTGCCCCTGTCAGCAGCCAGTAATCCTGCTCCTGCGAGGAGTAAGGGAAGTGACGGGAGCGTTTGCTCCCACTGTGGGGAAACTTGAATCTAGGTCTGTCAACTCTAGCTATGTAATTAACGTAGCTTGAGCTGTGCATCTCGATTCAACCTTCCCGTTTAGTATGGTCCTGGCTCTAGATTAATTTCAGCCTAAATCCGTTGCCAATCATGAGATTAATCCAGGCTTCCAGCTCCAGAGTTAGGAACCCTTTCTCTGTTTAGCAGATGGGTAAAGGAGACAAGAGCGCGCCCCCTTTGCTGTACACTTTTAAAAGCGCTGCATAAAAGCCCCATCTCCGTGTCCGTGTGCCCGATGCCGTCGGAGGCCACTGCTATTAGTCTGAGCAGAGCTAGTTGAAAATGTCCTAGCCAAAAAGGTATTTTTTTCCTTAACCAAAGCTTTCGCTGAACATTTTCATTTCCCTAGAAACGTTTCAAACAAAAACTAAAACTCTGTGGCTGTGTCTAGACTGGCCAGTTTTTCCGTAAAATCAGCTACTTTTCTGGAAAAACTTGCCAGCTGTCTACACTGGCCACTTGAATTTCCGCAAAAGCACTGACGTCCTACTGTAAGAAATCGGTGCTTCTTGCGGAAATACTATGCTGCTCCCGTTTGGGCAAAAGTCCCTTTTGCGTAAAACTTTTGAGCAAAAGGGCCAGTGTAGACAGCTCAGATTTGTTTTGTGCAAAAAAGCCCCGATCGCGAAAATGGCGATTGGGGCTTTTTTGCGGAAAAGCGCGTCTAGATTGGTCACGGATGCTTTTCCGCAAAAAGTGCTTTTGCGGAAAAGCGTCTGTGCCAATCTAGATGCTCTTTTCCGAAAATGCTTTTAACGGAAAACGTTTCCGTTAAAAGCATTTCCGGAAAATCATGCCAGTCTAGACGTAGCCTGTGTGTGTGTGTGTGTGTGTGTGTGTGTGTGTGTGTGTGTGTGTGTGTGTGTGTGTGTGAAGAATTGTGAAATTTGTTAAATCAACGTTTTCCATTGTTTTCCCCACTTTGAAACTGTCCATGAAAACCAGTTAGCATTGTCTGTTTTGCAGAAGCGGAATGCTCCGAGTGTAGGCCGGATCTCAACGGCTTTGTGGGAAAGGATGGAGCTGGGCAGGGGGGGTCCTAGGAAGAGGTGGGAGGATGGGGCAAAGGGGTTCCAAAAATGTTCCCTCTCCTACCCTCCCATTTTCCCTTGTGAGTGGATGTTCTATCAGCAGCTTCCTGCTGCAGGCTGGACTCATGGCGTGGGCAGGCGTGGAGCAGATGTTTTGCCTGGGGAGGTTTGGCAGGAATGGATCTTTCTTTCCCAGGCCGTTTTAATAGGGTTGTCCAAGGTGGAGTCGCTCTTTGATTTCCAGGACTGGGAATGACCTTTCAGACCTGGTGCCAGATGCTGCGGGACGTCCCCACGAGGAAGGGGTCTGATAACGCAGCTGTGCTCGACACGCATAAGGGCGGTAACTCGGGGTGGTGCGGTAGCTCTCACACCCCCTGGCTTGATAAGGTTTCCATCGCAGACAACATTCACAGCATGGTTCGAGAGCTCTTATCTCCCCCGCTATACAAATTGCTCTAGGCTTCTGTCTGCCAGGTCTTCGATACATGTATGAGCCCTGTGCGCTGCTATTAATTGGCCACGGGATCATATTACGGGCTCCCTACTCGCTGTGTTGCTCAGGTAAATACAGTCACTAGTGGGACATGCTGTAGTCTCCTAGATAATCTGACGGGCCTAACCACGTGTGTTTCAGATTTCTGTAGCGCCAAGGTCTCCGCTTCGGGAACGTCAGAAGAAGAGACAATAGGTGAGTCTGTTTCGAAATGTGACCTTCCGGGTGGGGAGGAGGGACTGAGAGCGAGCAGGAACAGCAATAAATTCCTGAGACGTGTGCGATAAGGAGGGCAGCGGGGGTGCAGGTCAGAACCCCAATGGGCAAGAGACAGTCCGAACACCTGGCTTTTAAACAGAGTGGAACCAGCACGTGCTTCATCGGTGCCCTCCAAAAATGCATCTCTCGAGTGCGAGATTCCTTGAGTGGGACCCTCGCGGCTCCCAGGCATCCCAACAGTTCCTCGAGCATTCCCGGGAAGCGGGGTTATAATTAAAGTTGAAGGACAGGTGCCAATGGAAAGAGGTTGCACACGGTGATGCTGTATTCTGGCCGTTTAAACTACTATTCATCGTAATGCAACACGTAGGCCCCAAACCAGCTGGAGGCCTCCTCGTGTTACATGCTGTGCAAAATACACCATTATAGACAGTCCCTGAACCCTGGCTCACCCACAGGGAGGGACAAAGTGGACAGTTGCCTGGTGATTCAAAGAGACCCAGGGCTCCAGCCACCACTGTGGTCACAGCGGTACCCGTAACCCTGAGCCCTTTAAATCGCTGCCAGAGTGGGCAGCTTTTTGGACTGCCTGGGAGCATGGGGGCACCATACAGTGCAATCCAGGCAGCTCTGGCAGGGACACCGTGGTCTGGGAGGCACTGAGCCCCGCCCCGCCTGCCCTCAGCCCCGCCCCTTCTGCCGGAGGCTCCGCCCCTTCTGCCGGAGGCTCCGCCCCTTCCAGGAGCATGAAGCCACTCCCCCCTCACTTTGTCCAGGGACCCGACATAGCTGTCGACTTCCCTGCCTAGCCCCAAAGACCTTACAATCTAAACAGATGAGGTCCCATAGATAGAGTCCTGCACAGATACAAAATGAGCCACAGATTTCTGCATCCACATCAGATGCAGACGCAGATGCAGAGACGGATGCAGCTACTGTCTGTGCCAGCGCGCAGGGTTCTAGCTACGCAACGTGTCTCTGCATCTGTACCCACAAAAATGAGCCATTTGCATCCTGACGGGCCGGCCACCAGCTTCATCTCTAGCCCACGCTGGCTCTCTCCTTGGCCCGTCTTACTGGTTCGCACACGTCAGCAACCTGCCATGGGTCCCCCAGTCACCAGTTCCAACGAGCGCCGTTCTCCTGTGTGAATTAGCACCACCCATGTATTGCCGAGGAGGGTCGTTCGCTAGCCCCATGCGTTCAACTTGTTCCAAAACAGGAACACGAATGTGGCCATTTGTCAAGCATGAGGCTCAGGTTCACTTTGGAATCTTTGTTTTGTGTCCCTCCTGCCCGTGAAACACCAAATCGGTATTTTCATTTCTCCTTGCAGACACCAAGTATGTAGTCATCGGCGTTACTCTGGGACTCTTCCTAGCAATTGGTTTTTTGGCTCTAAAGTTCTGCATCATCAAAAGACAAGTGAACGAAAACGATTTTGCAGGTAAGAGAAACACAATCTTACTTCCTGACCGCCAGGGAAATTCTTCTCATCCATCCAAACACCTCGGAGCTGAGGGAATCCTTCTTGGGAAAAACTTCTCAGTCTGGTGGTCTGCAAACTTGTGTTGTCTTGAATTGTGAAATATGGATTTTTAAACCTCTCTCAAGCCACCGTCTATAGAAAAGACATATTGCATTGCCTTATAGCACAAGATAGAGCCATGATACAATTTCTTGTAACCCGAGCATAGAAAAACAGGTACAAGAAAGACATCTCCGACAAGGGAATATAATTATTTTGGGTTCCATGTCCCTAGAAGGTATTCCCTTTAATGATGTTCCTGTGATGAATTCCACTTTGTGCTTCTCATGCTACAGAACACGAGTGTGTATCTGTCAGACAGGCAAGGAACTGATGCTAATCTAGCCTCCGTTTAGATGAATGTTATGTGGGCAGCTAAAACCATGAAAACCATGCCACATATTCTTAGAATCAGAGAATCAGAGACCACGAGAGCTGGAAGGGAGCTCGAGAGGTCATCGAGTTCAGTCCCCTGCCCTCACAGCAGGACCAAGCTCCGTCTAGATCATCCCTGACAGGTGTCTATCCAGTCTGCTTTTAAATATCTCCAGGAATGGAAATTCCACAACCTCCTTGGGCAATTTATTCCTGTGTTTAACTACTCCGACAGTTCGGAAGTTTTTCCTAATGTCCAGCCTAAATCTCCCTTGCTGCAGTTCAAGCCCATTGCTTCTTGTCCTGTCCTCAGAGGCCAAAGAGAACAATTTTTATCTCTCCTCCTCCTCCTTGAAAACTGCCTGCCAAATCGTCACCAACCATTTCAGTATCTTGGGGATTTTCGTATTAAAAAGAAGAATATTGTGAAAGACAGTTGAACCCTCACAGAAAGAAAGAGATCATGGCTAGGTATTTGCTTGGCCATCCCTCGTTGGCATTTGTAAACATTTGTTTCTGTGGTTTGAACACTGCGGTTTTTCCTCCTCCATAAACAGAAGTAAACGCTTTGGAAACGGAACAGCCCTCTAACTAACACCGTCCGCTCAATAGCCCTGCCGGACAAGTAGTTTAGTACAGGGGATGGCTTAGTGCGGTGGTTTTCAACCTAGTTTCGTTGGTGGGCCCCTGAAAAATGGTCAAATGATGGTGCGGAAATCTTCCACACAGTCTGAGTCTGCAGAGCAGGGGTGAAAGTAATTGCGAGTTCCTACAGGTACTGTCCTGTCACAGCCGGGGTCCCTGTCAGATCTGTAAGAAGCTCCTTCTGGCTTTTGCCACAGCTCAGTCAGCTCTTGACGGAGCTGTGCACTGAAGCGCATACTCTTTTTTTCACCTCTGCTGCAGACCCCTCCCCTCCAGGGACCCATGGACCACAGACACCGTTGGTGGAATGTCTTCAGCGCGGCAATTGATTGTTTGAAACTATAGGGCCAGATCTTACTAGGGGTGTCTCGGTCTATAAGGTGCCACAGGGCTCCTCGTTGTTTATGCAGAATAGGGCAGGATATCCAAGTTCTCCTTTTCAAGACTGATATGTACACTAAACAGCAAAGAATCAAGTTCCCTACTTTAGAAGAAAGGACTAACATATTTATTAGCGCATAAGCTTTCGTGGGCAAAGACCCATTTCGTCAGATGCATGTAGTGGAAATTCCAGAGGCAGGTATAAATATACAGGCACAGTACGCTGGTACTCCTTTGTTTTCACGTGCCTGTATATTTATACCTGCCTCTGGAATTTCCACTACATGCATCTGACGAAATGGGTCTTTGCCCATGAAAGCTGATGCACCAATAAATCTGTTAGGGTATGTCTACATTGCATTCCTCTTTCGAGAGAGGAATGTAAATACAGACAAGTGATATTGCAAATGAAGCGCAGATTTGAAGTTCCTGCACTTCATTTGCATAATCATGGACCGCCGCTTTTCCGAAATAGTGTATTTCGAGAAAACAAATGCGGTCTCCACAGGGCTATTTCGAGAAAAAACCCTTCCTTCGAAATAATCCTTACTCCTCAAAAAACAAGGAAGGTTTTTTCTCGAAATAACCCTGTGGGGACGGCATTAGTTTTCTCAAAATACGTTATTTTGGAAAAGCGTCGGTCCACGATTATGCAAATGAAGCGCAGGAAATTCAAATCCTCCACGATAATGCAAATGAAGCGCAGGAAATTCAAATCCGCGCTTCATTTGCAATTTCGCTTGTCTGCATTTGCATTCCTCTCTCAGAAGAGGAATTGTCTTAGTCTATAAGGTACCACAGGACTTTTCGTTGTTTATGCAGATTCAGATTAACACGGCTACCCGTTTGATTCTATTCTGCATAGACACTGTAGATTTGCTGTTAAGGGAAATTTAGACCCTCTCCCCTCCCCCGTAAACGCCACTACAGAACAGTGCTGAAAAATCACCTCCATTCCTCCTAATTCCTGGAACATCGGGTACCTTGTTCTTAGAATTGTATTTCGCTCCCTTTGGGACAGATGAGTGAGCCCAAAAGAGCGGTGATATTAGCTCATGTGTCGTCTTGAAAAAGATCGATATCACCTGTTTGAAATGAAAGGGTTCAGAAAAAGTGGACAGTTGTGTTATACTGGGTTTGATCTTGCTGTGTCCGTTGTGAGACTACATCCCTTTGATGTTTGCCTCCATGAAATTTGGCACCCCCTCTTAATTAGCTGTAATACATAGGTACTCAGAGCCCCACCATCATAGTATCTGAACATGTGGATCAGCTTTGCATTTCTGCCCTTGGTATCTTGCTTAACCGCCTTTTCCTGCTGTTCTCTTTTCAGAATCAGACAACAGAATGGATAGAAGGTAAGGGTCATTTGCTGTCAGCAATTGCTAGCATTTTTGGCATACCAAATATGAAAGTTCAAATTACCTTCTCCCTCTATGTATGACTACTGACAGTCCTTTAAACAGACATCCATACAAGATACAAAGCGACATGGAAGTCACTAAGGGTGAAATTTGCAATACTTTTTAGTGAAGTTGTACAGACAATGGAGATTCAGTTTTACTGAGAATTTCCAAAGTTGTTTTCAGTTGGATTAGGAACAAAACCCCAGAATTTCAGAATTCTGAAAGAGAAATTTCAGCATGAGTCTGATGTTTTTTAAATGTGTATGATATAATACATAATATAAAATAAAAAAAATCAAGCCAAACTTTTGAATGCAAAAATAAAATATGTTTTGCTTTGAAGAAGTTGAAATGGGACTTTTGGAGGGGGAAAAAAGCGGGCGGAGGGAGACAGAACTTCTGCAAAATTGACACAGTTCTGTGAAACGTTTTGATTTCAATGGAACTGCATTCGGCCACAGCAAATTTTCTGACCCTCTGTAGTCTTGGAAAAAGCTGAATATCAACTGTTCCAAATGGAAGGGTCCAGAAAGAATTTGGACAATTATATTGATCCCCCTAAAGATGCAAATCAATGCCTAGTGGGAATAACCTAAACACCTGGACAGGTTGCGTGCCTGACTGCTAAGGAAACAATTGAGAGAGAGACGGTAGGTGAAATAATATCTCTTATTGTGCCAACTTCTGGTGGTTGAAGGGACAACCTTTTGAGGTCCACAAAGCTCTTCCTCAGTTCTGAAGAAGGTAACCGCAGCTAAATACAAGTGTGGCAGATTGTTAAGCAGAAGGGGTCCACATATAGAATCATAGAACCTAGAACTGGAAGGGACCTCGAGAGGTCATCGAGTCCAGTCCCCTGCCCTCATCACAGGACCAAGCACCATCTAGATCATGTTGGAGGATGGAGGACACCAATGAAGTGAGCAATTAAGGGCTATCGGGCAGCAGGGCCTGTTACACAATGTTACAATGAGCCATAAAACTTGCTCAAGTCCATGGGTTTGAGTGTCCAGTTGAGTTATGAATTGAAGATCCTAGGCTCGTGTTGTGAAGAAGGTTTCCTTTGAAGGTGACAACGAAGAGGCCAGCTGGGGCGTGATCGCTTTGTGAGACATCCCCCAAGGGGGACACAAAAAATATAAATCCCAAAACCTCCCTGTGTGAGTTCATCGTGATAATCTGGTTTCATCCGCATGGCGGTGGGTGGGGCGTTCCGTGCGCCGGTGAGATGCACCACTGTCGTGAGAGGCATGCGTAGGACCCATGGCTTGTTGCGTGAGGGATGTTGATGACTGTAGCAGTGGAGATCTGTCTGGAGGTTTTGCGTCTTGTTCTGGCAGGGTCCGATAGTGCTTTGAGTGGCTGTGTCCCGGTCCATGGGGAGCTTGCTTGTGACGATGAGTTTGGCAAGACTGAGGGATTGTTTGAAGGCCAGAAGAAGGGACCTAGGGAAGATTTTCTGTCTAGATGTGGTCCTCATTGAGGGTGTGTCTAGGCTACACCTCTCTGCTGACAGAGAGATGTAGATTAGGCACATCGAAATTGCTAATGAAGCAGGGATTTAAATATCCCGCGCTTCATTAGCATAAAAATGGCCGCCGCTTTTTTTCGGCACGGAGCTTTGTCGGAGAAAAGCAGCAGTCTAGAGGCTGATCTTTCGAAAAATAAAGCCATTTTCAAAAGATCCTCTAAACCTCATTTCACGAGGGATAAGGGCTCTTTCAGAAAAGGCTTTATTTTTTAAAAGATCAGCCTCTAGACTGCCGCTTTTCTCCGACAAAGCTCCGTGCCGAAAAAAAGCGGTGGCCATTTTTATGCTAATGAAGTGTGGGATATTTAAATCCCTGCTTCATTAGCAATTTCGATGTACCTAATCTACATCTCTCTGTTGGCAGAGAGGTGTAGACTACACACTCCCTGAGTGTGGGCCAACATGTTGATGATACCCAGTGTGGGGAGATACAGGGAAACGAGGGGTGTGCGGACAACGGATATTTTATTTCCATATTGAAGTGGATTCTCTTGGGTCATTGTGTTCACCTGTTCCATAGGGACACCCCACTATGTGTCTCGTTCTCTGGTTTCAGAGGCAGAACACTAGTGGTGAGGGACTCTTCGTCTGACCTAGCAGGACAGCTCCCAGGTGCCTAAGAAGCAGTCATAGAGCTGAAGGCCAGGAGCGATGACCAGTCTGACCTCCGGTCTGTCACGGGCTCAGCCCAGGAATGGAACTGAGACCAAATTTCACAGGCTCAGTCCCCACACGCATCAAAACAATTCGGCTGCGGACAGTAGGTGCTCAAAACACTCAAGACAATGAAAAGTGGACAGGCCCAAAACCATTGGCTCCAATTGACTGTGTATCAGAACAAGCCCCGAACCTTTGTGTGAATGCTAATAATGTGGATATGGGCCTGTGTAGGTTAGGAAGTGGGACCCACACGTCCCCTGCATACAACATTACTTGTTGGTCTATCTGCCTAGTCTTAATACTCCCTCTAGCCCAGCGGTTCCCAACTTTTTCCAGATGGGGACCCATTTTGACTGTGAAGAACTTCAAAAAGATCTCACCAAACTGAGTGATTGGGCAACAAAATGGGAAATGAAATGTAATGTGGATCAGTGTAAAGTGATAAAGGTCTATAAAATCATGAGTGGTGTGGAGAGGGTGAATAAAGAAAAGTTATTTATTAGTTCCCATAATAGAAGAACTAGAGGACACCAAATGAAATTAATGGGGAGCAGGTTTAAAACTAATAAAAGAAAGTTCTTCTTCACACAGCGCGTAGTCAACCTGTGGAACTCCTTGCCAGAGGAGGCTGTGAAGGCTAGGACTATAACAGAGTTTAAAGAGAAGCTAGATAATTTCATGGAGGTTAGGTCCATAAAAGGCTATTAGCCAGGAGACAGAAATGGTGTCCCTGGCCTCTGTTTGTCAGAGGCTGGAAAGAGATGGCAGGAGACAAATCGCTTGATCATTGTCTTCGGTCCACCTTCTCTGGGGCACCTGGTGCTGGGCACTGTCGGTAGACAACCCTGCTCTAGCTACGTAGCCCTGAACGTGCGGGCCGGCAAGTCCAGGGCTGGGCCGGAGAGCGACCAAGATAGCAGGCAGCCTGTCATGGGAATGGTTCTGATGTCTTGCGACTGGGGACACCCGCCAGGAGGGGTTTGTGGGGAGCAGTGGTTCTTAGTCAGTCCAGCCGACTGTATCCCTTTCAGGAGGCAGATTTGTCCTGGATTCCCCCGGTTTCACCTGACTTAGAAATGACTTGCTTCCCAAAGCAGGCATAAACATACAGAAGTGTCCCAGCATCCCATGACCACCTGGAGACTGCAACCTGCAGATTAAGAAACACTCGCCTAGATGCATCGAGTACCTCCCAGAAGACCTCTGCCCACCCCCAGTGGTGCGCATAATCCTGGTTGAGGACCACTGATGAAAAGCAGTGATAAAATATCCCTGCGTCTGTGTTCTGCCTAAATTTTCTTCCTATTTCTCCTTGTCATGCCTCACACACAATATTTACTCTCACTCGCTCTAACATATTCCAAACTGGGGCAAGCCACTATTATTCCATTAAAGTCCATGGATCTACACTGATTTACACCAGCCAAAATGTTTATAAACTTCAAATCCTGCCACCGATCGATGTGCATTTAGTGCACCACCTAGAAGTCAATCATTCCATGCCCCCTAAACTTCTCTGTAGAATTTCTTTGGGTTGCCCACATCCCAGAAGCACTGGCTAAACAGCCAGAAAGATTATCTCCTTACATGCCTGAAAGTACATGCAGCCCAAAATCACATTGGCAGTTCATTAGGAAGTAATTAGTGGCATTTGCCCCTTTATTTACACAGGTATATAGCATTATTTTTAAGCAATCAACTCGTAATGAGATGCCTATAGACACACTGGGATATTTACGAATACTTTGAAAGCATACAAGTTTTTCGGCATCATGCTGTCAGTTAACGAACCAGTCATTTAGGTGTCAACTGGTAATTATTAGGTGTCATTTTAAAAAAATTAATAGCTCATGTCAGTTTCAAATGCCATCTTGGTGTAAACTTGGTAAATTACAATGCCTAAAATATCATGCAAGTTTAATGTATTAATAAAAATGTCTGGGCACATTTAATGTTGGCAATATTTTGAGTTAACTACAGTACATGGCAGACAGATTTATTTTGACAGAAAGAGACAAAGAAAGAGGCAGAGGGAGAGAGACAGACAGAATGGTTAGTAAGAAAGAAAAGATACCGATTAAAACCTTTGCCCTAGCCAATATGAATTTGTTGACTCAACAAGTCCTGAGCAAAATGTTCATCAGCCCTACAGCTAGCGCATTGTATCAATCATCCATCGCCAATGTAAATCACTCAGTATGAGATCGTATTTTAAATGCAGGGCACCAGTCACTGGCATATTCGAGGGAGGAGGGAAGGCGTTTGGCAGCTGCAGAGTACAACTGCCAAGCCCAGCAAAGACTTTTCTTTTCTTTTCTGCTGCTAGGAGTAGCCTCTGACTGTTGTTATCTGTTTGTCCATCTTATTTCTTCCAAGGTAGTTGCTGCCTGTGACATTGGCGGTAAGGCTGGTGAGGTACCACGTGCTCTTGTGAGTTATGACTTTGCAGCATGTTTACCATTCCTTTGACTAACATAAAGCATGCAGAATCGATCGGAGTATGTATTGTAAACCCACTCCTGCACGGAATCGGAACTGCTTAATCGCATATCCTACTCCCTATACTGTAACAGCTAATGGGGATTCTTTGTCCTGTTGGCCAAGTGGTAGAGGATTGTGCTTTTGGAACGGGAGGAGCTGGGGTCTCTTTTCACTGTGATTATGGAGTGCAGCATATCTGTTCATTTGAAGCACGTGGAATGTACCAAATCTCCTAGGACCTTGTTTTCCATCAGCTAACACACTGAGAACAGTTAAGTCTTTGGCAGCCACATATTTCTTATAGTACAGTAAACAAAAACAAGTTCCAAGGAAAAGTAAATCCCCCTTCCAATAGGTGCAAGACATAATTCAATAGCAAGAAAGCATGCCATTCTCTGTATTGCACCACACACACAATTTACTCAGTTGCAACGTGCATTCCTCGTTTATATGAGAGGTGGACAAAATACCACCTATAGGACAACTGAGATCCATGGCGTTCTACAAAGTGGCTCCAAGGTGCTGCCACTAGAAGATGTGTCCAAAAGTGCAACTCACCATCATAATCCAAGTAGCTTCCACTTGAATCAAGACGGCTCTGTTTTCTCCATGAGTTGAAACATCTCCTCGCGCTTGGTTTAATAGGGCGCAGAAAGTTGGTTCGGACTCTTGGCCAGGGTCCCGCACTCTGTGAAAGACACTGGGCTTTGCATGCCTTGCCGCATATACTGTACAAACTATTCACACCCCGCAGCATATGTTCCATCTCCAGCCCAGGGAGGGCTAACATCTCGGTCACTATACCATTCATTGAAATTGGATCCGTTTCAGAGGCTGACACATGCTGTACTGCAAACAAGTTCTTCGAGAAGCGCTCTCAAAGTAGCTAGATCCCAAAAATACACTCGCAGAGGAATTCTCTTTCTCCAAGAGCTCCTGTCGTTTGACCGGTTAACGAAGCGCTCCTTCCCTGGGTGTGAGGGGGTGGGGTGGTGAATGAGATTTTGCACCCAGAACTAACCCGGGGACTAGGAATTTCCTGCCACTCATGCTCACTCTGATGGGGGTACCTTTCTACCAAGTCATTTTACAGAGGCCACTGACCAGCCAGCAGCTAGAAACAGCTTCCAAGTTCAACCACAGTCTACCGCCGCTGCATCTGAAGCAGTGAGATTACGGGAGGCATTGGAAGGAAAGCCAAAATTCAGATTGTGTTGAAATTGCCACCGAGTGCAGGATTTAAAACCTGCCCTTTCCCAAATTATGCGTGCATTTACTTTCCACATTGTCAGAAGCCAACTGCATTTGTCCTCCGATTTGCGTGTAAAATCTGCGTGCAAACTTTAGAGTGGTGACCAGTGAGCCCTCTAATTTTTCCCATCCCCCCGAGCGGAATGAATTTTGTTCTGCGCACCAATGTGCAACATGGAGGGGAGGTGCGACACATCCTCTTCGTATTGGTGCACATGACAAAATGCATGGGACGGGGTGACATTTTACAATGGGGTGGGGTTGGAACTGTGGCCCCTCTACCCCCCCTCCCCGCACACACACTCTCTCTTTCATAACATGTAATTATCCCCTTTATTGGTTGCTGTCACAAGCTGGCCCTGTTTCCAGTTCTTGATGGACTCCCCTCTGTTGAGGGCATCTGATCGCTGGATCCCATGTGCTTCTACGCCCCATGATCCGGATCGAACCAGGCCACAGTTACTAGTTCTCAGTCCCTGACACACACCCAGCAGAGAGCCCATGTCTGACACCTTTCCCTGGGACGTGGGGCTCTACAGCCTAGAAACCTGACTTCCCAAAATCAGCCCCCCACCCCCACCCTTCACAGCCTTTCTGAGCTCCCAGGGGCCGAGAGTTCCACTTTACTATGAGCGTTCTGAGCTTCTTAACAAGGCCTGGCCAGTAAGCAGGACTCATCACTTTTACTCTCAAGACTGTTTGTTGATTTACAAAGATCTGCAGCCAATGTTCCCTCAATTTTTTTCCATCTGCGTGCAGAATAAATGTTATGTGCACTGAGGCATAGTCAGATGTGCACCACTAGTAGAGACACACGCTGCCGGCTGCGTGTGCTCTGCTAATCGGCTGGGTGGCATTTGAATGTCTCCACCCAAGCACTCAGCTTGCAGGGAATGCTGTCTGCAACTCCCGTGTGCTTTCCTTAGACGCACTTCTCCCTCTGATCTGACCTCTTCTGTGAGTCAAAGGTCTGGAGTCCTCTCTTCTGCCCTCCAGCCATGGGCCTGGCATCTGGGGGAGGACAGCCCTCCCTTTTCACAGAGCATCTCCCTTTCTCTGGTGCAGTTTGCCACATGCCCAGACAGCAAAATACTGACCCCACTCCCATGAGTCTCACACGAAGAAAACCCACATCCCTAGAGGCAGGTTGGTCCTCACATGTAGTTAAGAACATAAGAGCGGCCACACTGGGTCAGACCAAAGATCCATCTAGCCTAGTGTCCTGTCTGTCAACTGTGGCCAATACCAGATCAACCAGAGGGAGAGAACACAACAGGTAATCCTCACCGGATCCCTCCCCTGTCACCCACTTCCAGAGAAACAGAGGCTAGGGACACCATTCCTACCCATCCTGGCTCATAGCCATTAATGGACCCAACCTCCATGAATCTCTCTAGCTCTTTTTTTGAACCCCATTAAATTCCTAGTCTTCATCCTCTGGCGAGGAGTTCCACAGGTTGATTATGTGCGGAGTGAAGAAAAACTCCTTTTTGTTTTAAACCTGCTGTCTCTTAACTTCATTTGGTGACCCCCTAGTTCTTATATTGTGGGAATAAGTAAATAACGTTTCCTTATTCGCTTTTTCCACACCAGTCATGATTTTATAGACCTCTATCATATCCCCCCTTAGTCTCCTCTTTTCTAAGCTGAAAAGCCCAAGTCCTTTAATCTCTCTTCAGATGGGACCCGTTCCAAACCTCTCATCATTTTTGTTGCCCTTTTCTGAACCTTTTCCAATGCCAATATATCTTTTTTGAGATGAGGTGACCCCAACTGCACACAGCACTCTAGATGTGGGCATACCATGGATTTATATAGAGGCAATAAGATATTCTCTGTCTTATTCTCTATCCCTTTTTTAATGATTCCTAACATCCTGTTTGCTTTTCTGATGACCGCTGCGCACTGAGAAGGTGTTTCCAGAGAACTCCCCACAGCGACTCCAAGATCTCTCTCTTGAGGAGCTGTAGCTAAATTAATCCCCATCGTACAACTTGTTCCAAGTTGATGGTCCCGGAGGACTTTTTCCTCATCCCTCTGTGGCCTTCAGTTGTGAAACAGGCTGCGCTTCTTAAAGGCAGCCTGGCTTTCCCACACAGAGCAAGACACCACCGAATGAAGTTCTCCGTGTGAGTCAGACTTCGGTCTTAATTCCCCTGTGGAGCCGGTCCGATCAAGACGCTGTTGGCCGGCACGTCCCGACTCCCTGGCGTTCCTGATGCCCTGGGGCCACTGGTGCGAGGCGGGGGCGGAAGGCAGAGAAGAAGCTCCGGAGAAGAAAACAAGCGACCATAAGCCTTGCCCTACTTTTCTCGCTCACAAGCACCCTGTGGCTTGCCAGCCCGGCCCTGCTCTCTGACCACACGCAGGAAGTTCCTGAGGTGGAGATAGCAGAGATGAGGTGGGGGCTGCCTGCCTCCTCCATCTTCCCATTCATTTTCCACCCTGGCCCCAGCATCTCCCCTCAGGCCCTTGGGACTTTTCTCACTTCCCCAGGGTAACCTCCGCACCCCGGCTCAGCCTGTCACGAGCACCCGACACACCGGTGTGGGGTTGCATGAGGCTTGAGCTCCCCTCCCCTGCTCCAGCCCCAGCTATCCTGCTGCCCGCACAGCCTCCCCTGCTGGGGGACGGCTGACAAGGAGAAGCTCCACGCTGCCAGACCATAGGAAGCTGGACGGAGAAGTCTCCTCGGATGAGCCGAAGGATGCTCTACAGAAAGGGGCTTCTCTACGGCTTCTCCACGGCTTCTCCTCACCAGGCCTTTTCCCGCTCCACAAGGCCAAAGGGCTGTTCTCCCACTTCCCTCCAAAACTCAAAATACGACTCCCACCACGGCCTGCTTCATTTACAAGACCTTGTGGTCTTGGGAGGAGGGGAAAACTCACCGTGCCTCAGTTTCCCAGTTTGTCCAATGGGGATCACATCACTTAGCTGCTCGGTAGAAAGCGATGACATCTACCAGTGAAAAGTACTGCGTCCGGAGGTAGGGATGATTACATCGCACACCTCAAAAACGAGGGCACCAACATTCTCACTGACCCGGGAAGCGTGACGGTGTAACGAGCCTGACAGTAACACGGTCACAGTCGCATCGCACTGTTCCGCTCTGCAGCTCCTGGGTCCCTCCAGCCCCACCACAGACAGCGCCACCTACGCTGGCCCTTCTCCTCATGTCCCCCGGGAGTGGCTGCTGACTCGTGGCTCCCAGCGCTGCTCCAGCTAACCTCTCTGGGATTCCAGACTCTCCTGCATCGTCACAGTCGGACATCTCCCTCTCTTCCCGCTTACCTGCTCCAGCTCAGCATGACGGAGGACAGGACAACTCCCCAGGACACATCCGGGAGATAGACGGACACAGCTGTGAATTAAACGTTCATAAGAACATCAGAACCGCTGTACTGAGTCAGACCAAAGGCCCATCCAACCCAGGGTCCTGTCTGCCCACAGTGGCCGATGCCAGGTGCCCCAGAGGGAGGGAACGGAACAGGGAATCATCCAGTGATCCCTCCCCTGTTGTCCATTCCCAGCCTCTGACAAACAGAGCCAGGGTCACCATTCCTGCCTAGCCTGGCTAATAGCCATCAATGGACCTAACCTCCATGAATTTATTTAGGGTTCTTTCTTGAACCCTGTTACAGTCCTGGTTTTCACAACATCCTCCGGCAAGGAGTTCCACAGGTTGACCGTGCACTGTGTGAAGAAGAACGTCCTTTGGTTTGTTTTAAACCTGCTGCCTATTACCTTCATTTGGTGACCTCTAGTTCTTACGTGATGGGAACAAATAAATAACTTTCCCTTGTTCGCTTTCTCCACACCTGTCATGATTTTACAGGCCTCCATCCTATCCCCGCTTCGTCTCCTCTTTTCTAAGCTGAAAAGTCCCAGCTTTTTTAATCTCGCTTCGCATGGCAGCCGTTCCGAACCTCTCGTCGTTTGTGTTGCCCTTTTCGGAACCTTTTCCAGTGCCAACCGTGCAGCCCATCAAAAGGCGTCATGCCTTAGAGATGCACAATTCCTTGTGTGCTTCCTGGCCTACTGGACAGAATCATGTGTGAAATCTTGTAGCGTGTGGCATACTTCACTCCTCCAGCCAGTCAGTTTCACTGGCAATAGGTGGGATCCCACTAATTTTTGCTATTCTCTGCTCCGTTGGCGGCCGGGTTAGCAGTTGTGGCTGGGTCGTATCTGGCTGCCCAGGTGAAAAGAATTCCGATTTCTTCCTACTCCGCTGCAGCGCCCATGAGGGCCTGCCAGGCCCATAATCTCTAACTAGCCCACATGTTTACTGCGCCAGAAGATGAACATACACGTCACAGTCAGACATCTGTTCTGACTGTCCCCTTCGAGTCAGGGCTGTCTTGTTCTTTCCACTTTGACTACCATCTTCCAGCAACACACCGGGAACACTCCCCGTCCCTGGAGCTGCCATGGTACAGAAGCGCCAAGTACTTTTCAAAGAACAGCCAACCACGCACTCTTAAGAGACACGGACACTTTAAAAAAGCCTCACAAAATGGCAAAACACTCGCAATTACAACTTGCACACGGAACCCTGGCTCCTGTTCTATAAGCCAGAAGGGGTTACGTAGTTTGGACTCTTGAATAAGACAGGCTGCCGACTCTTACCTGGCGATTCCTAAATCAAGCACATAACTTTTGGCAGCGCTCATAGATCGCGCGAGGGGCAAAGTGCTGTTGTTTCACACTGACTTTGAGTAGATTTCGTTAATTATGTCTTCCAATGAGAATGTCTGATCCTCCCTCTGTGCCGTATTTCCCATCAGATCATTTTTACTCCGTCTCCCATCGCGCTCTCTTCATGTGCTCACTTGGTGTTAGTTTTGCTGATGTCTAAGTGTTTGTTTCTTTTATTTATCACTAATCATTGCCTGGCTGCCGACACAGCCCAATATGTGCACTGGGCTCATAAACACAACACCTTGTTCAAGCGTTTCAAGCTGAAAGAGCTAAACAACACAAGATTAGAGAGACCGCAAGAAAATTGTTACTCTGAAACATCCATGGCCTAGAACAGAGTGGAAGAAACTGGTAACTTCCAGCCTGCCCATTTAGTACTGTGCCACAAAAAACAAGTAGCTCAAATACATGTTGTAGCAATGCAATCCCCAAACATCAAGGAACTCACCAGTTAAGACATTAGATAAATAAAATGAGGTCCTGTATAGGTTAATTTGCCAACCATAATACCCAAGACATACAGACCGTGCCCCCTGTGACAAATGCTTTGTCAGAACTAGAATCACTCACAGCGCATACGTCCAATTTCTGATAGTCATAAGGTATGTCTACACTGCAGGGTTTTTTCGGAAAAACAACCGTTTTTCCAAAAAAACTTCACTTATGTCCGCACTGCAATCGCGTTCTTTCGGGGGAAAAAATCAAAAGCGCAGAGGGTTTTTCCAACATTGGTAATCCTCTTTCTATGAGGAAGAAGACTTTTTGTGAAAGAGCTCTTTCACGAAAAGGCGTGTGTGGACAGGGAAGAAGGAGTTTTTTCAGAAGAAGAGGGAAGAGGAAAAAGCACAGGTGCCCTGGTGGACATTCTGTCCATAGGAATCACCGCTTACATGTGAGATAGTGTCCAGGCAGTCTGGACACTATCTTTCGAAAAAGCACATCACTTTTTCGATGGTAGTGTTTCTTAAACTCTGTTCCACGGTACACCGGTGTGCCACAAAGTAGTCAGAGGTGTGTCATGGAGAACAACAGAGTTCAAAATGGCCGCCTTTAAAGGGACAGGTGAAATTTTTTTTTCTTAATAACTTTTCCCTGGCTCCTTTTTTTTTTCTTTTTTTGCTCAACAAAAAATCCTTGGTGTTCCTCATTAAAAAATTTTTTCTTGTTTGGCGTTCCTTGGTCTTAAAAAGTTTAGGAAACACGAGTATAGACGCTCTCTTTAGGAAGAAGTTTTTTCAAATGATCTCTTCCGGAAAAGCTTCTTCCAAAAGAAGCCTGCAGTCTAGACATAGCCATACTCCGTTGCTAACTTGTAACTGAGATGTCATGCTTTCTCTTGTACAGATCCTGTATCTATATCTACCATAACTAGGTCTTCATCTTGGTGTAGGCAGAGTTGAAGCACAGCTATACTCAGTTTGCCAGCGAGAATAATCCCAACCAGTTTTATTTTACATGGGGCAGTGCATCTGTTCACAAGTCCTCTTCCACCTTCCACCAGTAGAGTTTGGTGCCATCTTCAAAAGAAAGATGAGTTTGTTTGGCTTTTTAAAAAAAATGCATCTGATCCTAACCTGGCAAACACTTGTGTAACTTTAACTGTGCGTGGCCAGCTGTTTGATTTCATCTGGGGTAATCGTGTAAATAAAGTCAGACAAATGCATAACTGTTTGCAAGATCTGGTGCTGTGTTTGCTTTATAGAGGCTCCCGCGGGGGGGAAAGCTACTTTAATTTGATTTAGTTGAATTTAATTTATGTTGTGGGGTGGCCAAACTTACTGAGTCTCCGAGCCACATACAACAGTCTTCGGACTGAGCGTGCTTGCTGGGGTGTCAGCCCCGTGGGACATGCCTGACAGGACATTGTGGGTATTCAGACCTCCACAGGGTGTGGGGTGTCACCCCATAGAAGGTGCTACCGGGGCTCGGGGCTTCTGATACATGAGTGCCACTGAATGCAGATTCCTGAGCATTATTCTCAGCTCTGCTCTGGGTCTGTACCTGTAAAATGCAGGTCATTTCTGGGCACCTGTGAAGCTGAGCTCATACTAAGAAAGCACTCGGATGAAAGGTGCTGGAGAAATGCAAGAGGTGAAAGGCCACATTCACGCGCAAGTCGCACGACTACCCCTTTCCCCCCTGCCTCTCCCCTGTGTGAGGGCACATCCGGGCCTCACATCTGTGGGTGCCCTGGGCTAGCGCTGCCACTGGCTTGCCTGTAGGAAAAAGGACAGGAAGGGGCCTGATTCGCTTCTCATTCCTGTCTACACTGGCGTAACTGCAGTTCAGAAGCACCGGACGGTTTTCTGAGCCTCACCCCTGCTCCTTCCCCCCTCCTTGCTGGTGCACGTCTGTCCCCTGCACCGTGAGGGGTCCTTACGCTGCCTCCTCCCCGGTTCTTCTCCTTCTCGCTCCTTACAGGCAAACCTCTCCTCCGTCCCACTTCCCCAAGAGGCAGCACAGTGTTGGCAGGTTCAGAGCTCGGGCGTGGGTCCCACCCTGGCTGAGCTCCCAGCCTCGGGAGACTGTGACATGGCTGGGGGGTTGGGCATCATGGGAACCCCTGTTCCCTTAGTGGATACCAGTGCAAAAATCAGTAGCACATTTTTTTACCAGCAATCGGCAAGGACCATACACACACTGGCCAGGAGGCAAGCCTAGTGAAACCCAGGAGAAGAGACATCCTGGCCTGCCTCCGTCTGGGACGATGTGTTACTTAAATAAGGGAATTCCCTTACACCTCGGGTTGCCGACTGGACCATAGTTTAACTCTCTGGCCTCTGGCGGTGTTATTCCCACTTTGCACCAGCGTAAATAAGAGGAAACTCAGGTCTCCGCTTTTTCCTAAGGGCACCAATGACTTGTATTGAATTTCTCTGCTCTTGCAAAAATCTGTGTTTCCTCAGCAGTTGGCCTTTCACAGACGTTTTTTTCCTCCCTCGGTGCAATGAGCCAAGCTGTTTTTTAGAAACCTCTTCTGCCTGCCAAGGCTCTTCAGAGCTGCTTTCGGGCAGCCTCTGAAAAGGCATTGGTCCTGACGGCAAAGGATTACAGACCTCTCGTTTCCAGCAACTGACGCTAGGGGGAGGAAAATCGAATCAAAGCTTCGAGCAAAGAAACCAGGCGGGAGTCAGAGGCAGAAAAGAACCGGGGTTCTGGTGGGATAGTGATAGAAATGTAGCCGTGTTAGTCTGGTGTAGCTGAAACAAAATACAGGACTATGTAGCACTTTATTAGATGATGAGCTTTCGTGGGCCAGACCCACTTCCTCAGAGCAAAATCTGAGGAAGTGGGTCTGGCCCACGAAAGCTCATCATCTAATAAAGTGCTACATAGTCCTGTATTTTGTTTCAGCTACACCAGACTAACACGGCTACATTTCTATCACTATCCCACCAGAACCCCGGTTCTTTTCTGCCTCTGACTCCCGCCTGGTTTCTTTGCTCGAAGCTTTGATTCGATTTTCCTCCCCCTAGCGTCAGTTGCTGGAAACGAGAGGTCTGTAATCCTTTGCCGTCAGGACCAATGCCTTTTCAGAGGCTGTATGCTTTACAGGTCACCCGCGGCATCGTCAGGGAACAGGTACGATCTGCAAAAGGGGCCAGGGAGGAAGGTCTCAGGGTCGTTCCCCGGTCTGGTGCAGCGGGGATGGGGTGGGGGTAATGCTTTCTGCGTGGCAGCCTGGAGTCCAAGAAAAAGAAGCTGGGGAGTGTTTATAAACCTGCATCCAGATCCATATCCAAAAGGGATAAAGGTGGCTTATGCAAACCAGAGAAGGAGAAGGGGTGAGGCTAGAGGGCATGACTGAAGTCCAGAGAACCAGGTTTTGTCTTGGACGTGGTCACAGATGCCTGGCTCAGGGCATACCGACTCTGAATGCTAAGCCCTGGAGCAAGGCAGATGGGTCGGGCAGTGTGGACGCATTAGCATGGCTTGGAACCGGCCCGCCAACAGGCAGGGGCAAAGGGGCAGCTGCTCTGAGACCTGGTGACTCAAAAGGGCCCCCAGCTCCCAGCTGCTGCACTGAAAATGGCAGCGCCCAGAGCCGTGGGCACTTTAAATTGCCGCTGGAGCGCTGGATGGCACGCACCAGGCAGTGCAGAAGGCCTGGCTGGGAGACGTGAGCCCCCCAGATCCACCCTTTCCACCTGAGGCCCCGCCCCTTCCAGGGGCCCAAAGACTTCCCTCCCCCATCCCTTGCCCAAGCCCAAACTCTATTGGCTGCTCTGGCTATGAGACGTAGATCCAGCACTTGTAAACCCAGATTTACCATGGAATGTGGACACTCCAGCGCAGGCTTGGAAACACTGAGTCCATTAGCTTATGTCCCACAATGCAGTGTCGAAGTACCTCTGTAGCCCTGGGCATGTCACTTAACCTTTCTGGGCCCCACTGTAAAAATAAATAATAATATTTAAACAGCCTCCTTGTGACATTCCCATGAGGGAGGTGTTTTAATGTGGGTAACATATTGGCAGGTTTTTGTGCAGCAAGTGGCAAAGAAGTCTAGCATGATTTTGTTATGAAGTGCCCTTCTCTGTAGGCATCCGTTATGGGTCTGAGGTTTAATTTGTAAATTTCCTCCCAGACAACTCCTTTGCCCACACATCTTATGTGGATTTTGAATGACTGAGGGGAAACGGGAGTCCATAAAAGTAAAATACAGACGGGAAACCTGTGAGACTCCCGCTATGCTATGTGTTATGCTATTCATAGGACACGATATCCATATGCTATAAGCCAGCACTGTGAGAAGCACAGCCAGTTTTATAAAATCCAATCAAACCAGCAATTAACAAGGAGAGCGCATCTGTCTCCCCTTTCCAAAGCAAACCTTTGTGAGTGGGAAAAACTCCTGGGAAAAAATCCTGGAAGCCACTCACCTCATCTTCCTTCAGATCCCTCCCTTCGCCTCAGCAACGCCACCTATATGGCCTGGCCATTTGAAAATAGTTTGGCTAGGTCAGGGGTGGCCAGCCCTTTCTGGGCAAAGAGCCAAGATAGCAGTGGATCCAGTGTGAAAAGCTGGGGAAAGTTGTCGAGGAAAAAAAAAAAAGCTCTGCCCCTTTAAGAAAAGACATTTAAATGCATTTAGAGGCTTTTTGGCACCAGCAAGCACCCGATGCCCGCCATCTTTAATTCTACATCTTTCGTGGCCGTGCCGGATGGCTCCCCTGTCCAGGTCAGCACAGAGAGCTGGGAGGAGAGGACTGTTTTGGGGGGGGCCGGGGTGGCTTACGAGCCACGGGGGGCAGGGGAGTGGAAAGAAACGAATGAGGCTTGCAAGTTGGCCACGGCTGGGCTAGGAAGTGAGCTGAGACCTCCTGCTTCTGGGGCATCAGTTTGCCCTCGCCTTCCTGCTTTTCAGCCTCAGCTACTTTTTGCCCTTTGTCATAAACTAGGCCCTGTGCCGGCGAACACTTAAAGTTAAGCACATGTGTGTGAGCAGCGGCATATACTTCAATGGAATTGCCCTTGCAGTTAAACTCATGCGTAAATATATGCAGATGAAAAGCCCTAGGCCTGGTCTACACTAGGGTGTTATTTCGAAATAACCCCCCTTAGGTCGAATTAATAAGCGGCGCGCCCACACCACCACGCCTGTTATTTCGAAATACTAGGCCACTTCTTTTGAAATCTGTACGCCTGCTTTCCTCGGGGAATAACGCTAATTCTGAAATAGTGGCACCGGCGCGTCCACACTACTGAAATAACTATTTCAAAACAACTACTCCTCAGAGTCATTTGAACGAATTCCTCCCCGGGGCTTCCTGGGGTTCTAAGTCGAGGTAGCGCGCCCACATGAACGCAGCCTGCCTCGGACTCATTTCGAGGCTTCACCGTAGTGAGGACAGGCTATTTTGATTTTGTAAAATGGAGAGTTATTCAATCAAATTTAGTTATTTTGAAATCATTTCCTAGTGTAGACGTGCCCGTACATTGTTAGCTTTTGGGGACACAACTGTCTCTTAGGGTATGTCTACACTACCACCCTAGTTCAAACTAGGGTGGTAGTGTAGACATAACCTCACTCTGCAACGGGGCCCTGATCTTTGGCTGACACCGCTAACACCCACAACAGTACAAAATAAAAACTGATAATATACATGTGAACGAGGGGTCACCAAGGGACACGAATAGGGAGATGTCGGCAGCAGCGCAGATGGGGCGCTAAGTATGCTGTGAACGGTGATATTGCCAAAGTTTGTTTGCACCCCCACCCTGTATTAAACAGTAACTATTAAAAATGTGCATTAGTCTTTTAAATAAAAAAAACTTAACTGTATTATTGTTATAAACTGAAAAGTGGCGAGAAAAGGTAAACTCATGTGAACAAATATAAACTCTTTTTTATTTAAATGTAGCATTTAAAATAGTGTTAATAGAGTTTTCAGGGAAGGTCTAATTTGTAAGTTTGCTGTGTGAAAGGGGTTGCTAATCCAAAAAAATTCAGAATAAATATTATTTTTAAATGACATGAAAGTCATTCTAATCCTTTAGTTATTAAAATATGTTTTCTAAGCTCTGGAGTTACTATGTTACCCACGATCACTGCTTCCATAGGGTGAGAAAGGAAGTCTTGTTTACCTATTGTTATTTCTGCTTTTTCAGAGAAGAAGTCAAGTTACAAGAACTGCAAAACGCACCCAACCACTAGCCAGTTTCGAATGAGCTGTATTCGGACTGGACAGTTAGCTCTTGCGGTACCTGATGTCTGCATCAAGGGGACGCCTTTGTCCTCGGGACTCTCTCTCCATATGCAATGTTTTTGAAAAAATGAACCAAGTGACTGATTAGAGGAAAAGCTTTGTAGCATGCACAACCGAAGGCCGTCTCTGCACTCCAAAAACGTTGGGCCATACCATGAACATACCATGAACATACCATGTTCTTGAGGATGAAAGAATGATGGAAATACCCATTTTCATGTTCATTAAGAGTTCCTGTTTGTAAATAAGAGCTTGTCTATACTTATCCAAGTATCGGCGCTCTGGGGATCGATTTTCCGGTGTTCAATGTAGAGGGTCTAGTGAATACTGAAGGTACCCCTGTAAACCCTGGCACTTCTTGCAGTCATCAATCTCCTGCTTTGGGGCCATCTTAGAAAATCGATGTAAGGTACGTTGACTCCAGCTAGGCAATTGTAGTTGGCCTTGCATATCTTGACTTTGATTTTCTCGGCCAGTGTAGACCTGGCCTAAGTGCTAAGTATATGATTGATTTCATTCAAAAATAAAAGATGACCTAAAACTAGAGACAGATTAAAGCAGCAACATCCAGCTGCATTCACACTGCAAGCCCCTCAGAGATGGGACTGAAGGGAGAGGAAACGGGAAGGACCAGCCCATTGCAAATATAGGGGCCATTTGCAAAATGTGGAGCAAGGTTTAGTTTTCAAACATCAGACCCGGGGTATAAAAGCTATGAGTGTTCTGGTCCCGGGCCTTCATTCTGTACCTGAACTAGAGATAATGGGACATAATCATAGAATTATAGAACTGGAAGGAACCATGGAGGGTCTAAAGTCCAGTTCCCTGTCCTTACAGCAGGATCATCCCTGACAGATGTTTGTTTGGCTTGTTCTTAAATATCTCCAGTGATGGAGATTCCACAACCTCCCTAGGCAATTTATTCCAGTGTTTAACCACCCTGACAGGACAAGAAGCAATGGGCTTAAATTGCAGCAAGGGAAGTTTAGGTTGGCCATTAGGAAAAACTGCCTATCATCAGAGGCTAAGAAGAATAGATATCTGAAAGCTGTTATCATGTCTCCACTCAGTCTTCTCATTTCAAATTAAACAATCCCAGTTCTTTCAGTCACCCCTCATAGATCATGTTTTCTAGACCTTCATTCCTTTTTGGTTGCTCTTCTCTAGACCTGCAATTTGTCCTCATCTTTCCTGAAATGTGGTGCCCAGAACTCCAAACGAGGCCTAATCAGCGCAGAATAGAGCGGAAAAATGACTTCTCGTGTCTTCTGGTATGTCTAGACTACATGCTTCTTTCGAAAGAAGCTTTTTCAAAATAATCTTCCGAAAAAGCTTCTTTTGAAAGAGATCGACTAGACAGCCACCACTTTTTTTGAAAAAGCAATCCGCTTTTTCAAAAGAGAGCACCCGGGCAATCCGGACACTCTCTTTCGAAAAAGCCCTGTTTGCGTTCAAGAACGCCTTTTTTCAAAAGAGATCTTTTGAAAAAAGGCATTCTTCCTCATTAAATGAGGTTTCCCGCTGTAGAAAAAACGGCCGCGTTCTTTCAATGTAATTTCGAAAGATTGCGGCAGCAGTCTAAACGCAAGTGATGTTTTTTCGAAAAAAGGCCACTTTTCATAGCCTTCCTCAGAATGAGGTTTGCTTTTTTTTTTTTTTTGGTTTGCAACAGTGTCGCACTGTTGACTCATATTTAGCTTGTGGTCAACTATGACTCCTCGGTCCCTTTCTGCAGGACTCCTCCCTAGACAGTCACTTCCCATTCTGTATTTGTGCAATTGATTGTTCCTTTTTAAGAATGGTACTTTGCATTTGTCCTTATTGAATTTTACCCTATTTACCTCAGACCCTTTCTTCAGTTTGTCCAGCTCTTTTCACTTATAACCGTGTCCTGAGAGCCATTCATATCCACATGCAGTATATCAGTGGTCCCCAACGCGGTGCCCGCGGGCGCCATGGCGCCCGCCGGAGCATTTATGTGCGCCCGCCGAAACATCTGGGCTGGCCCCGCCCCTGGTGCGCAGCATATGTGTGGTGCTGACCCCGGGTGTGTGGCGCATGGGCGTGTGCCCCGGGCTCAGGGTGCATGCGTGGCCCCACCCCCGGAACCGCGACACATAAGTGGCCCTGCCCCCCGACGCCTGGCACGTGAGCGGCCCTGCCCCTGGGCACCCGGCAGTCACGAAAGGTTGGTGACCACTGTACTAGACCTTCAGCACTTCAACCTGAGGCCACTGCTTCTTGTTCTGTCATCTGCCACTAGTGAGAACAACTTAGCTCCATCCTCTTTAGAACCCCCGCTTCACATAGTGGAAGACTGCTATCAAATCCATCCTTACTCTTCTTTTCTGCAGAGAAAATAAGCCCAGTTCCCTCAGCCTCTCCTCATAAGTCATGTGCCGCAAACCCCTAATCATTTTCATTACCCTCTGCTGGACGTATATGCAGCCGGGTAGGGCACCCAAAAATTTGGGGCACTGCTGGGTCTTAATGTCCACCCGCCTGCCTCTTCCTGCCCCTGCTTCTTCCGGAGAGGATCTAGGTGACTTAACAGTGTCAAGGCCTGCAGAGCTATGAGCGGACACTGAACCTGGGAAAGAGCCGTTCCCGTGGTAACGGGGCCATGTCACAGGCATTGGCCTGTCTCTGGTATGGACTGTCAGGTTCTGAATTTCTCATGGCAGTCGACAGGACCGGAGTTTAAAACATCCCGATAGTGCGCTGCTGAAGATTATAAAATCACATCCCTAAAAAATGGCCATTCTCCTACTCCGGGCTGCCCTTGGGCATAGGGCCCCGTAAATCCTACGGACTAGCCGGCCGATCCTCCAAAGCACCCGCAATCCCTCCTAGCTTGGGGTCGTCCCCACACTTTACAAGCGTACGCTCCATGCCATGGTCAGTGATACAGGACTGATCCCGGAGGGATGCCATGCCGTAGGCCCTTCCAGTCTGACGGAGAACCCGTGATATCGATCGTCGTTGAGACAGCGGGGTTGTATGTTATCTGTATGTCTCCTTGTCCGATGCCGTTTGTTGGTGAAACGTCACACGTGTACTGACTCCTTTCTGATGTCACGGTTACCCTACTATATAAGGAAAGCCCCCGTACCATTTATATTAAGAATCCAGCTGTATTTTCAGGCACTTGAGTTATATGGGCCCAGGCTTCAGGAATATTCCTGGCTCGTGGGCCCAGCATCAGCAACACACGGAGCTGGGTCTCTCCCCTGAACCTGCCTGGTGCCCCTAAAATGGCCTAGCCCCCCACCTCCCACTGGCAGCTCAGCAAGACTAGACCTGCCTCCTGCCTGCACACTCCATGCAGCTGCTGACATATCCCTGTGCGCTGGGATGGGGAGGGGCTGTGCCTCCATGTGGCGCCCTCATCACTAGCATCCCTACAGCCAATGGGAGCTGCAGGGGTGGTGCCTGAAACCCCCACCTCGGAGCCTCTGCATGGTACAGGCATAGAAAAACTGTGGTTCCCAACCTTTTCCAGTTGGGGACCCATTTTGACAATTCAAGAAGATTTGGTGACCCAGGGCAATTCAAAAAATGTGTGAATGTCTCCTTAAGAGCCACCTGGGGAGACACCCGGTGCCCCTTTTGAAATGTGATGGTGACCCATAAGTTGGGAAATCCTGAAATAGGATAACCGTAATCAGCAAATCATAACTTTTTCAATGACACCTCATATGACTTCTCTTGTACAAAATGCAGCATCATTATGCCATAATCCTATCATAAAAATATCACTGAGAAGAACGCGGGGTGCGGCGTCACATCCAAAGACCCTAAACTTTAAGGTGTGAATCTAAACTTTCTAGCTGTGCCTCATCTCTACATACACATACATTCTACAATACCGGAGCTTCATCCTAGGCTTGCTTGCTAAATCTGGATTAGAGTCCGCATCCGTTGTCAGGTACGCCCGTATCAGTCTGGAGTAACTCCATTGAAAGCAGCTGTGTTTCTCTAGTTCTGCACCGGAGTGTGTCCTTTAATTGGATGGTAGTTTTAGTAGTATTAGCCTGATCCCCAAACTGGAAGCACTGTGTCTCAATAAAGACCGACCACTTGTTCAGGCTGTACGATCACAGAAACGAAGGCCTCAAAGCAGTAATTCACAGGAGAAGACTCAATGGATCCAATGTGGTGAAGCAAGTGGTGAATGAGATCTTCAACGATCAATGCATATTCATTGCTTGGCCATGTCCTAACTGCATCGCTGCAGTTATGCCAATTGTTTGCACCCGTGAAGAAAATTAGGTTTCCAGTGTCTAACCATTTTCGGAACGACAAAAATATTATGAGTTCTCTATCCCGCCAACGAGGGGATTCCAAATGTGTCGGTGAAACAAGTCCCTCGGGAGCTCTTTGCCTCGAAATACAACTCATGGTTCCTGGCTCAGAATGAGGGTTTTGCAGCGGAGACAAAGAAAAGAGCGATCTTTGAGTAATTTGCCTGGATTCCCCAGGTGTCTTTTAGCCGACTCGATAGCAAACGCTGCTAATGAACTGCAATGTTAACAGATCACCTAAAGCAGTAATGTGATACTTGTAAGTAATTTTGTGCGGGGAGGAGAGAATAAACCATCGGGTAGGGTATCTGTTAATTGATTTGCTTCCTTTAGCATCATTTTAATTAAGGCTTCTGGTTTGGAACGGGAGAGAGGAGGTGGTCGTGGAGGGAGGCTGTACCTTTACTTATCTTTATGAGCAGCGATTTCCTTTATTCCCCCTTGCCGAATACGTCGGAAAACGAGATTGCTGTTCGTGCGCTCCCTCCCCCCCATGTTATTGCTGTCAGTGGGCAGTGTTGGGGACTCAGGGTTCATAATATAGATCAGGGAAATTCGAAGGGCTGACGAATAATACTCTCGGGGAACATGAGCTGGGAGTGATAAATATATTCCGGGTGGGCATTTCAAAAGCACTCGGGAGAGGCCTAGCTCTGCTGCCACTGAAACCTCCCCCGCTTGCTCCGTCTCAGAGACGAGGGGTATAACAGCCTGGTGCAGCTGCTGCTGTCCCACCACCGGACAGCTTGGCCATGGTGGCTCCACATGGGCTCCACCTTTTCCCTGCTCATGAAGGTGAGGTCCATCGATGGCAATGAGCCAAGATGCTCAAGTGCCCATGAAACTGGGACTGGATGTCAGGGAGTGGATCTCTTGATAATTGCCCTGTTTGTTTCTTTGCTGCGGAAGCCCCTGGCATTGGCCATTGGCAGAAGACAGGATACTGGGCAAGATGGACCGTTGGTTTGAGCCAGCCTGGCCGCTCTTGTGTTCTTAATTACTTCCTGAGACCAGGTGCACGCGGAGGCACCGGATCCTATCCGATTGTCTGTGGGTATGCCTGGAAACACCCTCTCCTGCAGCCAGCACTCCCAGTCTCTGGCACAGCCTAGTGGGAGCTTTCTGGGAAACCATGTTCCAACGATTGCCTTCTGAGCCGGGAGGGAAAGTCGATAGTGAAAGCGCGGGGGAAAGCGATACGCTTGTGCATGGCTTGCTTTTAAATGCAAACGTCATGTCCATTTCCAGATACTTTGACAGGCCGATGACGGGAGGGCTGCTCCTTCCTACCTCCTGTGGGACTCCTCTGCTCTTCCAGCGAGTACGTTCACTGGCCTGTCTCGTCAATAGAATTGTGTTTGGCTTTGCCCTTCACTAAGTAGTATCAATGCCTTCCAATACCAGCACAAAGTGTTCATGAATGCGTCGAGTCTTATGCAAAATATTTTCTGTGTGCAACGAATGGCACAACAACAGACATGCGCCCGAGCTGCGTAACTCTCCTTAACACACCGCAACCACCTACACACCGGGCAGCAGGCGC